CATTAACGTTATATATACTTATATTTATCTTTAAAAAAGCGGGAATCTCACGCGATGTGACAGTACAAAACAGTACTGCTGCTTCAGGATATTTCAGACATATGGACACATATTGGATAAATAGAGCAAAGCCACAGCACACGCAACTTGATCTTCCATTGTTGTATGAATTTGATAAGACGTGCGCAACATTTTCACGATAGAAACATGTCTTATGCAGGAATGTAACTGATATGCTGCAACGGCTCCTTTACATATGAGATCACTGGAGTGAGTTTTGACGCTCTCGCCGCCGGAGCTGAAGGCAGACAGCGTTGTTGCCAGAGCGACCTTGGACGCTCTCGCCGCTTTCAGTGTGAACGTACGGTTAGAGTGCTTGAGCTGCTGAAGATGATGCCGTTTAGTTTTCTGATTGTGTATATAAATTAGTAAACAAATGAAAATTAGAATTAATTTAAATATTATAATTAAACATTTAAACGTTATAGAGATATTTTAGTGCAGGGGTCACCAATCTCGCTCCTGGAGGGCCGGTGTCCTGCAGGGTTTAGCTCCTGCTTGCCTCAACACACCTGCCTGGGTGTTTCAAGTATCTCTAGTAAGAGCTTGATCAGCTGTTCAGGTGTGTTTGATTAGGGTTGGAGGAACATGTTTGGTGATCTCTGATTTAAAGCATCATTGCGAATCATTTCTGCATATATTTATAGTATGTGTGCATGACAGGTGCACTAAAGCAGTGTGTGTAGCTGGTGTGGGTCAGCAGGTGGCGCTGTGTGTAACTGATGTTGTTGTGTTGTGTTCAGTGTGGTGCTGGTGAGTTTGGACGAGGCCGAGCGTCCGGCGGTGACTCTGGTGTTGGGTCATGCGGTCTCAGACGTGCAGGTGCTCAGCGCGGGATCAGAGCAGACGCTCAGCCGCATGCGCAGCGTGTTCCTGCAGACACACACACCGACACACACTCTGAGCGCAGACGAGCTGCAGCGCCGCAGGGAGAGCGTCCGCCGCTGGCTGCAGGACAACAGAATCCCGGTGCAGGAGGACGGGGAGCTGCTGCGGGTGGCCCACGCTCTCACCATCAGCGCCCCCTACAGGCCCGGAGACTGCAGCTGCGCTAACCAGATCATACTGGCCCGAGTGCAGAGCCTGCTGGAGAACAACCCCGAGACCAGCGGAGACGCGCTGACCACTGAGAGCACACAGGGCTCGGGTTAGGAACGCTTTAGATTAAAGGGTCAGTTCACACAACAATTACAGATCTGTCAGCACTTACTCACTTTTCACCTGTTGAACACTAGGGAAGATATCTTGAAGAATGTTTGAAACAGCTGACCATTCACCACAGTGTTTTTTACCTACTATGGAAGTCAATGGTTACCGGTTTCCAGCATTCTTCAAAATATCTCCTTGTGTGCTCAACGTAAGAAACTCAAACGTTAAGTTTAAATAAGTAGTTTGAACAAGCAGAAATCATCTTTGACTGTGCTGAACACAAAAGAAGATACTTTGAAGAATGCTGAACACCACTGACTACCATAATAGGAAAAACAAACACTATAGTCAATGGTTACCGGTTTTCAACATTCTTCAAAATATCTCCTTTTTTGTTTAACAGAAGAAACTCAAAAGTGCTCTGGAAAAAAGACTGATTGTATTCACTACATGTTTTTAAGATCAGCGCTTGCAGACTATTCATGCAGACTGCATTTAAACAAATGAAGTTGAACATCACTACACTTACCTTCTGTTAAATTCAGCCTGCTTAAATAGTTTGTAACCACTGATCTTGAAAACATAGTGAATACAATCCATCTTTTTTCTTGTGCACTTTTGAGTTTCTTCTGTTGAACACAAAAGGAGATACTTTGAAGAATGCTGGAAACCGGTAACCATTGACTTCTATAATAGGTGAACCACTGATCTTAAAAACATGTAGTAAATGCAATCAATCTTTTTTTCAGACTGTGTTGAACACAAAAGGAGATACTTTGAAGAATGTTGGAAACTGGTAACCGTGGACTATAGTGTTTGTTTATCCTATTATAGTAGTCAGTGGTGTTCAGCATTCTTCAAAGTATCTTCTTGTTCTCAGCAGTCAAAAATGACTTCAGCTGCTTGTTCAAACTTATTTAAAATGAGCTGAATCAACACAACTCTGGGTTTTTTTCATCTGAAATCTCCTCAAGTCATCTCGTTTTTCCTCAAAGTAAGATCCGAGAGCTGAATGCATGTGTTTACATTCAAAAATAAAGTGCGGTGAGGAACTTAGATGACGGTATTTGTTTGAATGATGACAGTGTTTCCCTCTGTGGGTGAACTGTCCCTTTAAATGTGACGTTGTGTAAATTACATTCACATGTCTGACGACTCTTTGATCTGTTGATTTGTCTTCTTATATATATATTTGCTCTTTTTGTACGTTCTATTAAAGGTTTCCAGATAAACGTGTGTGAATTCCTGCTCAAAACTAAAACTAAAATCATCCAGAAAGAGGAAAACTGTGTAAATGTGAGGTGTTTTCCTGACATCATCATCAGTCGGCAGTGTAAACTCATTCATTCATTTTCCTTCAGCTTAGTCTCTATTCACCAGGAGTCGCCACAGCGGAATGAACCACCAACTATTCCAGCATAAGTTTTAAACAGCGGATGCCCTTCCAGCTGCAACTCAGTACTGGGAAACACCCATACACACTCATTCACACACACACTCATACACTACGGCCAGTGTAGTTGGTCAGTTCCCCTATAGTGCATGTGTTTGGACTGTGGGGGAAACCAGAGCACCCGGAGGAAACCCACGCCAACACGAGGAGAACATGCAAACTCCACACAGAAACACCAACTGATCCAGCCGAGGATCAAATCAGGGACCTTCTTGCTGTGAGGCCACAGCGCCACCTACCATCATCATCAGTGTTATTAACCGCTGTGTAAAACATATGCTGGTTAGTTGGTGGTTCATTCCGCTGTGGCGTCCCCTGATGAATAAAGCGACTGAGCTGAAGGAGAGTGATTGTCGGTGGTGTAGAGGCAGGCGATCTCTGCGCTGGTGTTCAGTGGTAGAAACACTTTAATTCCCTTGTTTGAAGGCGGTGATGGTTTTCTGCACATGCTCATTAGCAAAACAGAAATGACTGAGGAGACGGCACATACAGGAGATCATCAGTGTGTGTGTGTGTGTGTGTGTGTGTGTGTGTGAGGGTACCGTACACTTCTGATTCTCCTAGAGTCTCAGACAGAAGTAGGGCTGGTCTGTCCATCAGTGCGTGCAGTCTCAGTCCAAAGCAAGGAGTGAAATCAGACCAACATCAGAATAATGTTCTGTTTACGGCACAATAACACACAGACATGAGGAGTCTCGGCCTCTCAGAACCGCAGGGTTCTGCATTTACACGCTGCACCTCACTGCTGTAGTTATTGATCTTACCGTAGTTTTACTGCAGCGATCTCAGATCTGTGAAGAGCAAAACTGCAATAAAAGCTGTGTTACTCAGAGTCTGTGTCGTGTGTCTAGTCCAAATATCTACAAACTCTGAAATCAAGAAGTGTTTTCTGGACAATATGACATGTAGTGCTGCTGTCAGACATGATGAGGCAAACTGAGGGAGTTTGTCATTCAAACAAGCAGAATAATCTTATTCAAAGTGAATACTGGAGCATTCTGCTTCACTCACTGCAGATCATTTAGCTTGATTTAATTAAACTCACTCAGTTTTGACTCGTTATTTAAAAAAAAACTTTATATTTATATTAGAACTAGAAAATGCTTCTTGATTTGAGAGTTTTCAGAAATGTGGACTAGTTGAAAATCATGTTTTCAGTGTAGTTTAACAGATTTAAAATGGCAAGACGAGGTCAGGATTGGAGTTTGACAATTGTGAGAAATAAACCTGCGAGTCTGTAACACTGCAACTCCAGCTAGAAGCTTCTTCCCCCAAACACTCCCTCACCTCCAAACACACGTCTGTCCTGCAGATCCAGCTCAACATTCACTCTCCTTCAGCTTAGTTCATTTATTAATCAGGGGTCACCACAGCGGAATGAACCGCCAACTATTCTAGCATATGTATTACACAGCAGATGCCCTTCCAGCTGCAACCCAGTACTGGGAAACACTCATACACTAGTGTAGTTGGTCAGTTCCCCTATAGCGCATGTGTTTGGACTGTGGGGGAAACCGGAGCACCCGGAGGAAACCCACACCAACACGGGGAGAACATGCAAACTCCACACAGAAACACCAACTGACCCAGCCGAGACTCAAACCAGAGACCTTCCTGCTGTGTGGCCACAGTACTGAGCCACCATGCCGCCTTTCAGCTCAATATTTACAAGTTAAATCCACGAGAAACAGCTGAACAGAACACCGTCAGAACTGAGTCTCACTGCACAAATTACAACTGCAGTCCTGAAAAAGTCCAAACTCAGAGATTATTGATCTTATCGGTCATTATTACTGATAAAACTGTTCGTTTATAATCTTATAATAGTGACTGGATGAGTTCAAACAACCGATCATCTGTCCATGTAGACACACTTACTTTAAAACTCCCATTTTAATGCAAACCCTTCCCTCTTTCCCTCCCCCGACACGCCCACCTAAACACAGCTGGACACACCCACTGTCCTGACTTTACTCCAGGCATGTCCAGACTCAGTCCTACTTCCAACCCCATCCAGACACACCTGGGCTAATCAAGCTGATTTAGCTTCCTAGACACATCCCTGCAGGTGTGATGAGGCAAGCTGGAGCTGAACTCTGCAGCGGCCCTCCAGGACTGAGTTTGGACACTCAAGCTAGAGGTGTGGAAACACCCTGCTGAGACAGACGGGGGTTCGTGGCCCTTCAAAACAATTCAATATATTAACTACATAAATATTCACATTAACTCAACTCAATAGTTCAAATTGAACAGAAATACTGCACATTCTGTAAGTAAAATCAACTGTTAAGGAATTGCCTTTTACAGTGTGTGCGTATGGCAGGAGTGTCCAAACTCAGTCCTGGAGGGCCGCTGCAGAGTTCAGCTCCAGCTTGCCTCATCACACCTGCAGGGATGTGTGTAGAAAGCTAAATCAGAGCTTGATTAGCCCAGGTGTGTCTGGATGGGGTTGGAAGTAAACTTTGCAGCACACCGACCCTCCAGGACTGAGTGTGGACATGCCTGGTGTATGTACAGTGTTCAGTTTGACTCCTCTCTGGTGATGTTGCTGCTGTTTTCCTCCATTATAATCAGTTATTGACTGTAAACTCGTGATGATCCTGCATTCTGCAGTGCTGCTGGTTTCCCTGTTGGATTAACAGGTGAAGTGTGTGTGATTTGTACTGCTGATCATCAGTTGCAGCTTATATAGAGCTGTATGAAGTGTAGTGTGTGTAAGTGTGAGACCTCTGCACATTACATTGACATGACTGAGAAACTCTGAATGCCCCCCTCAGCTGTCAGAACACAGTAAACACAGTAAGTACACACACACACATGCACGTACACACACACACACACACACACACACACACACTAATCTGCTGTTTTACTCCACTGAAGTCCAGATAAGAGACAGAAGCTCTTCAGCACAGGCTGATCTAAATGCTGCACACTGATGATCAGCATTGAACATGACACACACTTCACCTCTCAATCCAACAGAGAGACCAGATCAACAATGCAGGATCATCTGCTGTCACGACTGTACAGTCAGTAAATGTGTTTATAATGGAGGAAAACAGCAGCACCATCACCAAAGAGGAGTCAAACTGAACCGTACACCAGGGTTAATATGGCAAGACAGCTCATAATCCAGAGGAAAAGGAGAAACGAGGAGTGAACTGTGAGTCTCAGAGCAGAGAGCATGCAGAAGAACACAGCAGCGTCTGAGCCTGACATTAATAATCATACCAGCGATACTTTCACACAGTGCTACTTTATGATCCTGCAGCTGGAGTTACAATCTCAGTGTGTGTTTCTCTAGAAGATGCACATGTGTGTGTGTGTGTGTGTGTGTGTGTGTGTGTGTGTCCTCCTGTCTGCAGCTCAACATTTACAACCTCACACTGCAGAACAGAAGTCCTGAACAATCCGACATCAGAGTCAGAGGAGTCCCGCCAGTCCTGCAGCTCTGACTTCATTATTCTGAAAACTGATCTGCATTTTTTACTTTTTCCTCACAAATCTGAGAAATAAAACGGCTCACACACTGCAGAGCAAGCGCTTCTCACACTCAGAGTCTGCCGTGTTTTCAGTCGGAGAATCTACAGACTCTTCAATCATGAAGCATTTCTGGACCCACACTGATTCATGTCTTGAATAGGGAGTTTCTCCACTTCAGCTCATTTACCTCAATATATTATTCCAAAAACATGTTTGTCTGACAAGCTTGCTTCAAAGTCTCCTTCAATACTGACGTCTTATTTCTGAAAATCAAACATTTACTAGCCTAAAAAAAAGATTGATTTACAGGGTCAGTTCACCCCAACATCAACAATTCCTCTTGATTTACGCTCCCTCGAGTGTCCAAACCTTCAAGAGTTCCTTTCCTCTGTTGAACACTGAAGAAGATATTTTGAAGAAGGTTGGAAACCGGTAACCATTGACTTCCATTGTAGGACAAAACAAATCATATGAAAGTCAATGGTTACCGGTTTACAGCATTCTTCTAAATATCTTCTTTAGTGTTCAACAGAAGAAACTTTACTAAATGAGGAG